CACTGGACGTCTGTTTTAAGTGTCTACAGTGCTCTGGTTGTAGTTACCTTTTGGATCAGGGCTCAACAATCTATTCAATTCTATTCAGTTTATTTATACAGCTCCAAATCACAACAACAGTCGCCCAAAGACACTTAATAATGTAAGGTAAAGATCCTAAAATAATACAGAGAAAACCCAACAATCATATGACCCCATGTGAGCACTTGGTGACAGTGGGAAGGAAAAACTCCCTTTTAACAGGAAGAAACCTCCAGCAGAAGCAGGCTCAACGATGTGCAGCCATTTGCCGTGACCGGCTGGGGCTGAGTGGAGAGACACAAGACAAAAGACGCGCTGTGGAAGAGAGCCAGGGAATAATAATAACTCATAATTAAATGCAGAGTGGTGTATAAACACATGGTGAGTGAAAGGGGTGAGGAGGGGCGGGATTCTACGGTGACCATCTGAGCATCGCCTGTGCTGAAAGCCACACGGAGAAAAGGACGCTCACTAAAAACATCTGTGGTCCTGAAGAAAATACATCTTGTGTTTGTTGAATAGCAGCAAACAGTGGCAGCGATATAGTTCCCCTAATCCTGCTCGTGGGTACAACATGTATTTATTTTAATATCAGATCATGCAGACATCGTTTATATCTTTGATCAGTGGATAAATGACTCGGTGCAGCTCTCATTAAAGCGTTATATGAATTTGTAACATTTTGATTTGACAGTTTTGTGCAGCCCCAAACCGTGACAGAACCTCCATTGTGTTTCCAAATATCAAATTTGGATTAACACTCTGTGGCAGCCGTTGCCTCTGATTTTCAGTCCAGGTCTTGTGTAATTTGGCACATATCCGCCGTGCCGCCGTCTTTCAGTTCCTTCAGAATAGCTTCCTGATAGCCACCCTTCACCTGAGCGCATTTCTGATGAGGCTGCATCATCCGAAGGCTCAGATGCATCTGTCAGGTCCTCATGGATATTCGTCAGCTGTAGATCGCCTTTTAGACGTGCATCTTCATTTCCTCAATTGTTTAAGGACTTACTGCATCCCATGTGCGTATGCATGTTAAGATATGTACGTATCAAAAACTGGAGAAAGTGAGCTGGTGGCATTTTTTCCTTTTGTGTCTCTATTGCCTGGCATCTTTTATCTGTATTTAAAAAGAACAAACTTAATAATAAATAAATATATCCAGTGAGATTGCAGGTCACCGACAACACGATGCGATGTATCACAGCCTCTGTTTGGTCAGGATGACACCAGCTGAACTCTTTGTGGCCACAGAGCTTTTAAACTTTCTGATATTTCTCGTGTTGCTTTCACGCTGTTGAAATGGGTTGTTGCTGTTATTATGAAGGACTTTGTTGTTTATGCGTGTTATGTGTAATTGTGATTCCTTCTTTGCTGTATTTATGTGGCAATTGCCACCAAAACAAATAGAATTTCTGAAAGAGCAATAATAAATGGAGCATAAATTCTATCACTGGATTATTAGTATTCATCGATAGAGGTGCAGCTCATTTTTATCACCCGGTTTTTTCATCCAGTAATAATCATTAGTGCCAGTTGTACTCAACTAGCACTAATGACTCTTTTCATTTGGTTTGTAAATAATAAGAGAAATAGTGAGAAATGTTTCCACATTAAATGATCTATCAGTTAGCATTATGGTCGATTGATCACTTAATTTAAAAATGTTTGTATAATC